AGGGCACCTGGGGGCGTCCCGTGAGCCACGCGGGAGATGCTGGTGGTGGCGGTCGGGTGGAGCCAGACACGGGACACAAGGCACGCTTGGACAACGGTGACAGACAGACGAGTCCCTGAGACGCTGGGTCGCTCCCACCCCTCAGCAAACAAGGACGCGATAACGGCTAGGAAAATAGAGTAGAAAAATCTCGTACAGGAAGTAGGCGGTGCACACCGGCATCACGGCCTCTTTCTCTTTTTAAAAATGTTTCTCCTTGGTTTTTGGGAAAAGCTTCTCTCCCGGGAGCCTCGTTCTGGGCTTCTGGGCAGTGCAGCAACTTTTTGTTTTGTTTTTGTCTTTTAAAGGGAAACAAGCAAGCCCTCTGAGGACCCAGTGGTTTCAACTCATAGCCCCCAGCACTCCTCAGCCCCTGCTGGGAGGAGAGGTCCCTTGCCTTGGCCAGACTGGGCAGGGGAGCCGGGGGGGTGGGGTGGGGGGGGTGGGAGGGGGAGCCAGGCACAGGCCACAGGCCAGCATTTGCCCAACTGACCCTTGAAGGCCCCAGGACATGCGCCCTCTGGCTCCCAAGGACCTCTGGGTCCAGTGACCACGTGTGTCTGCATGTGTGCACGTGTGTGCGGGCAGGCGTGTGTGCCTAGGTGCATATGCGTGTGTACATCTGAGGGATCTAACAACAGAGCAGAAGCTGCCCAGATCGGAGTGGGGTAGCCTGGCAGCCCCCAGAAGCCCAGCCCTGGCTCCTGACACCTGGGGGTGCCAAGGCCCCCGTCCGCCCACCTGCCCCAGGGTGCTCACCCGAGTCCCGCCCTTCATGGATCCCTCTGTCCACGCCTCAGGAGCCTACGTGGACCGACAGATAGACGGACGGATGGACGGAGAGCCGCGCCTTCCTTCCTTCCTCGGTCCGCTCCTTTCTCCTGGGGGCCGGGGTTGGGGTCTGAGCTCCCCGAGGTGGTCATTAAGCCCCTCACACGGCGCCCGCCGAGGTTTGCAGCAATGATGTTTAATACTTCTGGAATGATTAGGAATCTGAGAACAGACCGTGGGCGGCTATGCTGGGCTCCGGGCCCCGGGAGCTGGGCCCCGCCTCCCCATAGGGGTCCCTGCCTGGGTGGGAGGAGTGGGCGGCGCGGCAGGCCCTGACCGGCAGGCAGGCGGAGGCGGGCAGCCCAGGCGGCAGCCGGAGCTTCCAGAATGGCACAGCAGTGGGCCCGTGGAGAGACTTCAAGGACCGGAGGGTTGACACGCTCGGCTGGGCGGGCGGGCGGGCAGGCGGGCCGAGGAGCAGAGGGCAGGGCCTACGAGAGGCCGGGGCGGCCAGGCCGCCTGCAGGGGGGCCCGTAGCTGCCGTGGCTGCAGCCGCCACGCAGGCTGTAGTGGTCGTCCACGTCACTGCCGCTGCCAACACTGTCCAGCTCGCCGGTGCCGAACCCCACACCCTCTACATCCACTTCTGCAGAGAACAGACGGGGTGGGGTCAGACGCCGTGCCAGTGCCAGCCAGGCCTCCCGAGGCACGCTGCCGGGCCCGAGCCTAGCTCTGGCCCTCACGTGGGCAGGTCACCAGGCCTCCACGCCTCACCTTCCTCATCCCGTCCCCTCTGCCACCTCACACAGGGGCCCTGACGTCCCTCTGACATGCCGGGGACTTTCGACCCATCCTCCCCCGGGGCCTCCACCAGGCCGGCCCCACCCTCCCAGCTTCCCACCCAGGGCTGCACGACATCCATGCCCAAAGTCCCTGCAGGCGGCCTCCACGTCCCCACCTTGCTCCGAGTCATCGGTGGAGACGGCAGAGCCTGTGCTGTCCGTGCGCACGCGCTCCAGGCTCTGCACCGACAGCTGCTCCAGGCGCCGCTTCAGGAAGCGGTGCTCCCGCTGCAGCTGCTCCTTGATGCTCAGCGCCCGGCGGTCCTGCTCCTCCAGTTTCTGGGGGCACGGGAGCTGTGAGCCCGGGGCGGGGCACCCCCGGCCACCGGGACGCGCCAGGGCACAAGGGCCAGGGCAGGTTCCCATCCCCCACTCGGCCTGGGCCCCAAAGGCCTGATGCACCCCCTTCTCGCGCCCACCAGGAGTTTATGTAGGTGCCACCTCCCAGCCCCGTGCTCTGCATCTGCTGACCAGCTCCAGAAGGCCTACAGCCACCAGCCAGCTTGGCCAAACCGAGTCACGTGTGGGCCTGAAGCCCTGGGACAGCGTCGCCCAGCCGTGGCCTGGCACCCGTCCCAGACAACAGCCCTGCCCACAGGGGCTCTTCCCTGCTCAATCCGGCCGCCCTGCCCGCCCAACTGCTCCACACCTTCCCAGGCACTGAGCCGCGGCCTCTCCGTCGGGGGCGGCCTCTCCGTCGGGGGCCTGGGGGAGCCCACACCTGCGCAGGCTCGGGAGGGGCCGGCGGGAGGACTGAGACCTTCCCTGGTTGGCCCAAGTGTCCCTAGACCCCCAACCCAGTAGGTCTCAGTCTTAAGACTTAGGGGGCCAGCCCCAGGCAGCGTCTCACTCAGTCTATACCCCACCGCCAGCCCCTAGAGAGCAACCCCTACCCCTCGCCCCAGAAACTCCGCACACGCCGGGGCCGTCTGCTTCCCACCGGCCTCCAACGGTGGCATCGGCATGGAAGGAGCCAGCCTTCCTTCCAGCTGCTGCCACTTCACACCCCAGGGCCCGGGGGGCGACGTGCAGCCCACCCCCGCCTCCCACCCCCACCCCACAAAACCCAGCCTGCGCCTGCCGCTACCTCGACCCTCAGCGGCTCCCACTGCCGTGCCCCCCACGCTGGCCCGCTGCGCACCTGCAGGGCGGGCTCCCCACCCCACCCTCAGGCCCTCTGACCACTCCCCCGGGTGCACGGGGGCGGCCCTGCTCACCTTGATGTGCATCTTGGCACGCTTCAGGAGGCTCAGCGTGGTGTGGCGGGTGCTGTCGGGGCCCAGGGGCACCAGCTGCTTGAGCTGCTCCAGGTAGAGCCGGAGTTTGGCTCGTCTGAAAGAACCAGAGACGGAACGGTCAGGCGGGGGCGGCACAGCCTGGCATGGTGGCCGTGCGGCACAGCAGCCCAAGAGCTTTGGAGGGCGGGGGGAGGGGGCAGGGGGCGGTCAGCCGGAAGCCTGCACGGACCTGCTGAGGGTCCCTCCCCGGGCTCCCCTCCCAGCCCAGAGGGCAGCGCCTCCATCCCCCTGGAGCAGCCTGGCACCCACGGCCCTCCAGAAGCCCCAGTAAAAGGGCGGGGCCTGTGGCTGGGCCCGTGTGGCCAGCCAGCCCATCATGGCCCCCAGAGCCTCCGAGTGCTAGAGCCAGGCTCCCAGAGCCCCAGCTCACCCTGTTGTCCCCACCCTCTCCAGTGGGGTCCGGAAGGTGGTGGGGGGAAACTTGGAGGGGGAGAGGCACGGGGTGCTGGTCACGCTCTCCCAGGCGGAGATCAGGGACGCCCCCTACAAGCCTTCCGTCCCCCACCTCGCCAAGTGCAGGGAGCTCTCTGGTCACTGTCGTCACCACAGAAACATGAGTCCGTCCAAGTCAGGGAAGGCCAAGGACAGACCCCTCCTACTCGAGTCTGGGACCCCTTTGGAAACTGCTTCGTTCTAGATTTTGTCCCCGTGTCCACGCAGATGAATGCAGTTTTCCCACGGAACTGGAACCGTAAGAGTCAACGGCATTTGCTCACATACAGGGCGAGGAGCTGTGACCTAGATGTGCCCTTCTTTCCTGGCTCATCTGGTCTGCGGAGGGTGGGCGGCAGAGGCCACGGGGGCGCGGGGGCACAGGGCGGCCAAGGTTCACCCCCAAAGCACGCTGATGGCACGTGACCCACCGGAGCCCCTGCAGGCCGCCCAGGTGGTTTCCAAACAAAGATGCCCTGCTTAGGCGAAGCTCTTATGAGAGGATCGCAAGGGCACACGGCAGGCTTCCCCGCGAGGCTCTGACGAACCGCTGCCCCCCATCACCACTGTCGGCGCGCTCCTTCCTGCAAGGACGCCAACCCTGGCGGCCCCCCTGTCATCCCCCATGTTCCAAAGCCCTGGCAAATCCAGTCTCCCTTAGACTCTGGAAGGAAATCGGGCAACAATGGCCATGTCCCTAGGACAGAGGGGGCCCCCCGAAGCGTAGGGAGGGAGTGGGCAGCTCAGTGCAGGGCAGCAGCCCATCTGCAGAGCAGCGATAACAGCCCCACCCGACGGGAGGAGGGCCCTACGTCTGCCACCCACGTCCACACGGCACCCTCCTGCTGACGAAGCTCCTCCCCACCCGGCACCCCAGCCCCTGGCACCCGGGGCCTAGAGTTTTCCTGGTGAACCTGAGTTTGACCTTAGAAAGAACTTCTAGAACACGAGACTGAGGCTGCACTCGGCCACCAGGCCAGGCGGAGCAGCGGCCTGAAGCCTGAACACCAGGGATCCGCGTTCCGAGCAGGCCCCAGGGTCCACCTCAAGGCTGGAGGATCTTCAAAGAGGAGCCCTGCCCCACGCTCACACAGGGCTGCGGAAGGGGGCACACCAGGGGGCTCACTGCCGCGTGGCCCCCAGGGCCTGGCAGCCTCAGCCTCCCCGCCTCCAAGGTGCTGGGACTGTGGGGCAGGAGGCACAAAGCCCCCCCAGCCAATGGTGCTATGTGCTCAAGCACAGGTCACAATCAGAGACCCCCGACCCACCACATGCACCAAGTTCACAAGCGGGGGTCCCTTGTCCACTCATCTATGAGTGGCGATTCTTACAATCTACCATTCGAGTACGTACACGGTACGTGACCTTTGTGGAAAACTGGAAGATGCAAATCAAAAGAAAAAAAATAAATGAAAAGTACCCCCCCAATTCTACCACCCAGAGGCAAGCATGTCATCGTTTCAGTATATTCCACGTTTTCACATCACGAACAGAAGTGAAAACATCAGAACACAAAACCACCTATGTGACAACTGACCCAAGATAGGGTCAAAAAATAAAGCAACAGACGCACACGAGAGACTCCACGGCACACAATGAAGAGCAGGAAGCACACGTCTCCACGTGACGTGGTTGGCAACGTTTATTTCTTCGGCTTTGTGCGTTTTTTGTACTTTCCAGATTTTCTATGCTAAAAAATCCACATAACACTTTTACAATCAGAAAAGGACACATTTGTACATGAAAGAAAAAACACAGGTAAACGACAAGTAACAGCAAAAAAACATCTGCAAATACACGTAGAAGACAAGCGGTTAGTATTCATGCCATTTGGAGTTCATACGCACCAAAATGAAAAAGAGGAGGATCTTAACGTGAAAACAGGCAAAGGACACAGACAGGCAGGTTGCAGAACACAAACAGCTAACCTAACACAAAACCAACTCCATCTGGCAGCGATCTAGAACAGGAAAGCTTACCGAGGAGAGATGGTAATTTGGGCTGAAATGAAAAGGTGCGACTAGCTGTCGAGCTGGCCAGCGGGCAGTTCCAGCTTCCCTGGTGGGAGGGAAGTTCAGAAGGGCCACCAAGGCGACTCAAGCCCTCAACCGGCATGTCTAGGTCTAGGATTTCGGCCCCACAAATCTACCCCCCGGCTCCAGACCCAGCAGACTGCAGCACCGTCTGTGTTTACTGGAGAGCCATCACTCAGAACCCTGTGGTACAGCTGCATGTCCTGTGCGGGCACCCGGCCTAGGGGACGAGGAGAATGCACGGACACAGGTGGACGGGGCCCGCGGGGTGTCTGGGGAAAGGTCAAGTTAGGAAATAGCAGGTAACGAAGTTCTGTTCTTATCCCTCAGTACCCGCATAGAGGAGGAGAATGCAGGCTTGGCCACCCCACTGCCTAGGATGCTGTCTCTGGGGTGGGGCGCAGGGGGGTCCTCGCACGTCCATGAACAGACCGCGTTAGAAATCATAAAGCAGAGGCTTCTCGAGAGACAAAGAGAGGCCGCCGGCTGCAGCCGTGCCATGTTCAACACCGGACCACACGCCAAGCCAACTCCCGGAGAGCGTCCGGCGGGGCTGCAAGGCTGGGAAGCAGCTCCAGTGGGGCCCCGGGCAGGCCCCCAACCATCTGAGCCTCAGGGTCCCACCCCTGTGGGGAGTGGGCATCGCCACCACCTCCCTGGCGCTGGAGGGGGTGCCAAGGACCCAGGCTACACTAGGCTTGCGCTCGGCCCTCGTCTGAAGCAGCTACAGTGCCCCAGCCCTGCGCCAGTGCCCCTCAGCTGCGCCCAGCATTCCTGGGAGCTTTGAAAACCCGCCACTTCCTGAAGGCACCCTGTGCAGACCTGCATCGCTGTGAACGGCAGCTCCTGCCCGTGCGTCTGGCCACAGCCCAGCCCTGACGCAGGCCTACCCAGTTTCTCACCGAGAGCCCCCTGCTCCTCAGAAGAGGACCAGAGCTCCCACATCAGGTCCCCCAGCCGCCGGGCAAGGCCACGCTCTGAACCTCCCCAAGCCTGGCTTCGGGGAAGAGGCGACAAGGACACCCACCCGTGGTTCCTCAGCGGGTGGGACGGGGAGTGAGGTAGCCCGGTCGTCCCTGTCCCCCTGTATTTCCTAGCTGTTGTGAGGTCTTGCATGGCTGCATCAGGCAGACGGGGCAGCTGCACAGGAGGCCTCCCTCGGAAGGACCCACCCAGGACCCGAATAACCATCTCCATGCTGGGGAGAGGTGGGCAGCTCCACTGAGGGCCCTGGGCTGGCCTTTGTGATGGGTCCTGCCCCGCCAGGGGGATGCTGATGGCCCCCTCCCCCCTACAAAAGCTAAAGCCTGGAGCTGAGCCTGGGCGGGAACACATGGCCGTCACAAACCCATCCCCGGGGTCAGGAGCCAAGCACTGGCCTGAGCAGACCAGCTGGAGCTGCTCTCTGAGTGGAAGGGGAGGGAGGGGAGGAGGAACAGGGCAGGCTAGAGTGGGCCTAGGGTGGGCCACTGGCTCCCAGCGAGCTCCCAGCTCCGGCAAGGGGAAGTCCCGCAGGCCCAACGTGGCATGCCTCCCAGGGAAGGCGACATCGAGGGCCAACCTCCCTGGGGCCAGCCGGGTGACCCAGCCAGGTGCTTCCTTCCTTCCTTGGGACGGCACACGGCCTTCCTGTGGCCAGCGACCAGGAGCGTCCGGCGTCAGCATCAGGCAGCCGCAGGTACAGCCGTGACCGAGGGCCCCAACAGGGTCCCAAGCCCCAGGTCTGTGGGCTCCTCAGGGCGGACCACACCTGCTTATGGGCCAGCCAGGAACAGAGGCCCCTGCACCTGCCCCACCTCCATGGTCTCTCAGGAACCCCCCAAACGCACAGGAACAGTCCAGGAAGTGCGGCTCCTCCAGAGAACAGAGCGTTCTGTCCCCGCTCAGCGCCGCCCAGCAGAGGCCCTGATCCCAGGGGAGAAGCAGTTGGCGCTGCCGTGGGTGCAGACATGGGGGTGGGGACACAGGGCTGGCCGAGCTCCACGGCAGCCTGGGAGAGTTCATCTTGTGTGCAGACCCCCATTCCCCACCCCATCCCAAGCCAAGAAAGGAGGAAAGAACTGGCCCATTCCGGAGATGGGAGCAAAGGTCAGGAGAAAGCTACTGTGAGCATCTCTCTGGGAGTCACCCCTGGGCCTGGCTTCAGGGCTCCTGCACGCACACACAGCCTGGCTGCGGTCGGCCATGAGGACACCTGTCCACCGCACCTCGTCCCCACTGCAGAGGGAGGCCCGGAGCTAGAGCAGCGGGCTGAGCCAGCCAGGGAGAGAGGACGGCAGTCACGAGCACAGGGCCCTGGGCGGACTAGGGCTGGGGGGCAGAGGCTCTTTGGGCAGCCACGCTGCCCCTCCTCCTTCTCACTGCAAGCCCCCCAACTCCTCAGAGGAGGACAAGAATGGACCCATCCCCGGGGCCGATGGGTGGGCATGAAGTGGACTCCCCTGGATCCTGCCCTGGGCCAGAGCTTCCCACCAGGCCCACGTGGCCAGGCACTGGCTGCCCATCCCACTGCCCGTGGACAAGACTCTACTGGGAACTCCTTGGAAGGCAGGCCCCAAGGCACAAGGGATCCCAGTCGAAGAGGACTGAACCTTCCTGGTGGCAGGCCAGCATCCTAAGGGCTAAGGACCTGCTCCCAAAAGGGCTCAGACACCCCAAAACAGAGCTCCTCTTCCAGGGAGCCGGCCCTGAATGACACACAGCACAAGGGGCCCTGCCCCAAGTCGCTGACCCCCACCTGGCTCCGGACCCCAGGCTGAGCTCCCAAGAGCAGGGGCTGGCCCCCCACCCCTGCCTGCTCGCATGGGAATGCCTGAGAGCAGAGCCTGGCCTCTTCCGTCAAGAAGGCCCCTTCCCAAGACGGTGGCACAGCCCAGCAGCGTGCTGAGCCACAGCCAGGACACAGAGGCAGGGAGAGGGGGTAGCGGCTGGCCACAGCACCCCCGCAGCAGAAGGGCGGGTGGGATGTACCAGGCGGCTCACGTGGCGGAGCGTGCGGAACAGGAGATCACTTACCTGTGCTTTTCTAGTTCATTGTGTGAAGACCTGTTTAGAGAGACACAAAGACAGAGCTCACTTCACTGCCCACCATCAGAGCACAGGATGAGGGCCCTACTCAGGGGCCCGGGGACCTGCAGACAGTGTGGAGAGCGTCTGGGCCCCAGGATGGCCCAAGACAGGCAGCGCTGGGGCAGGTGAGTAGCTACTGACCAAAAGCTGGAAGACCTCACACCCAATGACAAACATGAGAGAGACAGAGGTGCAGCCGTGTCCAGGGTGCCCGGCTGGCAGGAGGGTCCAGGTCCCTTTCAGAAGGGGTGGGCCGGGCCCGAGGAGCCGCAGTAGCCGGTCCTGGGGCTGAGCCACCCAGCGCTTCCAAGGCTGCCTGGGCACTGAGCCACCTGCCTTCTCAGCTCCCCAGTCCCCGAGGCTAGTGGTGTCCTGGGAGCCACCTGGGCTGGCACACAAGGCCAAGGGCAGGTGACCACAGAGGCCAGGACTTGGACACGGGCGTCCTGGCCCAGTATCACCAGACAGAGCACCATCCCCACCCCATCCGGCTCATACACCTGCATGATCACAGCCCACCATGCCAACGGGGACACCTGGCAACAGAGGGATCAGCCCCTAAGGGGGCCTCTGGGATAGGGATGCTTCTGGGCCAGTGGGGAGACTGAGGCTGGCCCCTCTGCTTCCCTGAGGGGCCAGGGCCTGGCAGGCCTGGCCTCTCTGGGGGCGGCGGCCCCACCTGCTGCCCAAGCCCTGCCCGCCTGCAGACAGGAGCACAGAGTCTGAGTGCCACAGAGAGCAGGAGCACGGTGACAGCGAGGCAGCACAGGCCAGCTCCCACTTCCAGGTCACCCTCCTCGTCCAGGCAGGAATCCTGTGGGCCAGCCAGGGCTCCGAGGCTTCCCAGGCTGCCTCACACGGGACAGAGGACCCAGGTCCCCTTGGAGCACACCCAGAGCAGGCCCTGCAACCCCTACCCCGCACTCCTTCCCAGAGACTCTGCCGCCTCTGCCTACCTGCCCTCACTCCCTCCTGCCCCAGGAGCTCAGGAGTAGGTGTCTCCCATCCCTACCTCCAGCTTGCCCATCCTGCCTGCCTGTGCACCTGCCACGGTTCACGGTCCCACCACAGCCAAGTGGGGCCCAGCAGGGCAGCCGGCTCCCGGGTTGCCCTGTGCAGCCTCAGAACCTCCAGACCCAGGTTCCAGGGCCTCGAGGGCCTTGCTGGTCACATAGGCTGGGCAAGGAGCCTCCGAACCTCTGCCAGGGCTGGCTGGGGCCAGGAGGGGGCACAGCCGTCAGGCTCCTCGCTGGCCTGAACCACAGCCCGGCGCTGTGGATCTGTGGGTCTGCTCACTTGTCAGGGATGTGAGGGGGAGCAAGCGCCCCTCAGTGCAGAGAAGCCTGCCAGCCTGCCCCTCACGGCTGGGCTGGACCCCATCCTGGACGGACGGGGCGCTGCTTGGGCAACCGGGGGACGCAGAGGGGCCAAAGCCCTCTTGAAGCCCTCCCCTGGTCCAGACACTCGTAGAGCCTTGTGGGGAGATGGTCACTCAGGTCCCAGGAGCACAGTGCCCTGGGGAGGGGAGGGACTGCCTGGCCAGGGCCGTGCTAAGTGGGTTCCCAGCTTCACCGTTCACTCATGCCTTCAACCCCTCGAAGTAGGCACCCTTCTGCCCACTTCACTGCAGGACCTGATCCCTGGCAGGCTGGCTCCAGCCCCCTCCTGCTGAACCACTGCCCCCGAAAAGCCCTCGCTGAAGCCCTGGCAACCGTGGAGGCTGCCGTCTCCTCCAACACAGGTTGCCCTTCTGCCCCATGACTCACGCCTCATGCTGGTCCTTGCTGCGCCCATTCCTTCCCCTCACCTCAGGGGACACAGAGCCTTAGAGGTGTGGAGCTGCCCTGCCAAGTCAGGGCTCTGCATCCTCTGGACCCTGGGCTGGGCTGGCTGAGGCCCCGCTGGGCCAGGACAGCCGCGCAGGGCCGCCTGTGAGCCGTGGGGTGCCTGAAGCACTGGGGGAGCCGGGCTCCACCCAGAGGAGCAGCAGGGAGGTGCACCCTGGCTTGGGAGACCCTCTCGGTCCCTCCGCGGTGCCCTCAAGGTCTCCATCCCAGCAGAATGTAGGAGGCCAGGATCCCACCTCAGAACAGGAGCCCTAGAGATGGGAAGGTGGCCCTAGCGAGTAGTTGAATCTCCCTGAGCCTCAGCCCTAAAGTAGAGACAAAAATAACATCTCCTTCAGGCGGTGGGGTGACTACTAACTAGCACGCGTGTGAGAACCTCAGCTATGATTCTGGTCATCAGCTCTGGCTACCCTATACCACGGAAGTAAAGGGTCACAGCCCAAAGTTTTCCACGGGTGGCAGGGCACTTGGGACCAACAAGTGAGAAACAACAGCAGGGGCCCAGCTCGCTCACTAAGGACGCCTGAGGCAGTGGTGTCCCCCCACCCATGCATGTCCTTTCCCAAACTGTCCCCAGCAGGGCACCAAGGGCTGGGACTCAGAGGCATGTCCAGCCAGAGCAGATGGAGACTAAACCAATTCCTTGCCAGGCCCAGGGCGCCAGGACGTCACAGGAGATGGGTTCTTGTGCCAGCCTTTCTGTTTCCCAAGAACAAGTAGGCCACAGGAATGAGCCACACCCTCTGCCAAGGGGCCCCAAAGCCCCTGGAAGTATCACTCCCAGCCTGGTGACATGGTCCAGGGCCGAAGTGGGCCCCTGTGCAGTGCCAGGTGTGCTGTGGTCCCCACGGCAGCCAGGAGAGTGGAATCCCATGGGAGCCCTAGCTGAGGGTCCTCTCTCCCACCCAGGGACGTGCACGCCGGCTTTCGGGATTCCACAGCTTGGGTACAAGGCCAGAGGAAGGGGTGGATTACTGGCACCAGGAGAGGCTGCTGCACAGCAGCCTGCAGCCTCTTCCGGTCCCTTAGAAAAGGACTTCTGACCCAAGAAGGGTGCCCCTACCCTGATCGCTGGAGTTTCACTTGTGTCAGGAGGCTGGGTGGGGGCGGTGGGCACCATGCGAGGGGTGGGGGCCCAGGGCAGGGCCTCCACGCTCCTTCTTGCCTTCTTCGTGCAAACCCCTGGGGGTGGGTGGACTCAGCCCAGTAGCGGGGCTCGGCCCTCGGAGACAGTCGGAGAGATGCAGCCCACCCGCCCGCGGCGAGCAGAGGTCAGGGCGGGCAGCTCCATGCTGCTCTGCGCCGAGCCTCAGTCTCCCCAGACCCACGGGGCACCGGCCAGCGGCCCTGACAACACTTTTCCTGCCCGGAAAAGTCCAGAACAACTTGCGGGCGGGGAGCTGCTACGGGAGGAGACCCCGGGCGGCGGGCGCTGTACGCGTGGCACTGTTTACGCGAGAGGCCGAGGAGGCGCGGCCCGCAGGAAGATGGCGACGGCGCGGGCGGGGCCGGCCGGGCGGGGCTGCCGCGGCCCGGACGCGCCTCCTCCTCCAGGCTGGCCGCCGGGGCGCGCGGCGGCAGCCGGGCTACAGGCTGGGGTCTGGGCTGGGGAGGGCGCTCCGGGGGCGTAAGGCCCTGGTGTCGGGCCGGGGCGGGGGAAGCCGCGCGGGGGGCGGTACCTGTTGTTCGGGGCCTTGCGCACCAGGCCGGCCGCCTTTGTTTTCTTCCTGGCGAAATCGCCGTCGAAGGGCAGCACCGAGGCGTAGCCGTGCTCGGCCTCTGCGGACAGACGGCGCGGTCAGCGGGCCCCTGCCCCGACCCCGGCCCCGCCGCCGCCCGCCCGCCCGCCCGCGGCCCGGCGCACAAAGGGGCGCGGGCGCTACCTCGGTCCCTGCGCTCCAGGTACTCGGCCGCCTCCAGCAGGATCAGCAGGGAGTTCAGCTCCATCCTCCCGCCCACCAGCCCGACCGCGCGCACGCGCGCGCTCCGGGACGGCGGCGGCCGCTGCCCGGCCCGCTCCGGCCGGCTCCGCTCGCCGACCGCCCCGCGCGCCCGGCGGCCCCACTTCCCCGACTCCCGCGGACTAGCTGTGCGCTCGGCCGCCACCCTCCGCCTCAGGCTCTCAAATTGACACATAAGGGCGAGCGACGGCCGATGCAGCCAATGGAAGCCGGCACTGCGGATTCGGGGGCGGGCGCTCGGCTGGGCCGGGGCCAATGGGAGCCGGCCGAACGCCTCGGGCCGGGCCGAGAATGTTGACAGATGCGAAGCTCGGTTCCGATAGGCCCGCCGCGATAGTAACAATTTAGAAGCGCAAGCTTAGCAACAGCACGTGGTGGCCCAGCCCCCGCGCTCGCTGACTGGCGGCCGGCGTGCATGTTAAGTAGGCGACGCGCGCCGATTGGCCCAGAGCGGTCTATGTAAAGTAGGTACGGCGGGCCAATGGCCGGCCGCGGGGCGCGCGGCCAATGAGGGCTCCGCGACCGGACTCGTTGCCGAGAGGAAGCGGCGCGCGGTGGGACAGCCAGCCGCCGGGCCCCGCGAGGGCCCGTTAGGGCGCTGGGAGAGTCCCGGACACCCTCGTCGGTCTGCCGGGTCTGCACCCTCTACGCAGGAACCTGTTGCCCCGGGCCTGCTGCCACACTGGCTTCGCGGAAGCTCGGGGTCTCCCGAGGGGCTGCAAAACTACAACCCTCCCCGCCGGACACAGCGCGACCCCAGGAAAGGCTGGGGCTTGGAGAAGGGGCGTAGACGGTCTGAGCCTAAGAGCCAGGCCTCCTTGAGGATCTCAGTGGGGAAACTGAGGCCCAGAGCAGGAGGGATGCCTCAGTGCTGCCCAGTGGAAGGAAGGGTCTGAGAAGAGAAGGGGACAGAGATCTGCCGCCACAGTCCAAGAAGGGCTCCCGTGAGTGGAGGACTTCGTGCTCACGTCTGGCCCAAAGGGTGGGGACATTCCAAGAGCCTAGCACTTGTCCCCTCTGGCCACGGAAGCGCTTTCTAGGGAAGAGAATTGCCCTTCCTGGGAGGGGAGAGAGCTCCTCATCAAGCTCCCAGCTGGCTGGCTGGCCGATGGCCCTGGTGACTCCTGACCCT